AGTAGTTAGAGCTAGATTAAATAGAGTGTATCAAACCAATTAATGTCCACATTGTGTCCAGAGAAACTTTGAAGTGTCTCTGATCAGCTTATCACATCGTCAGATGGGAGTACACGGACAACAGGTGAGGGCATATGTGGGGAGTTTAATGACTACTTTCAGAAACTTTTCACCAGGTAGCCCTGGACAGATATATTTCTGACTCTTGAGATGAGTGAAGTGGCTAGTTGTGAGGGTTGGTATAACAGAAGAGGAACTCTGGGAAGCATTGAAGAAGGTTAGGAAGAATAAGGCTCTGGCTATTGACTGCTTGCTCTTCAAAGTTACTCTTGTTTGTTGCTGGAAATTCTCTTAAACCATTGAGAAACATTATATTGGGTGTTAGTTTGGAGTGGTTGTTCACAATGATTTGACAAACGGGGTGTTTCATTTGACAAAGGGATGTTTCACTCCATATATCCTTGGACATTTAGGATGAAATATCTCACTATTAATGAGACATCACTTGCCTGGCTAATGATTTGGAATGAACTCTGGGTCGACAAAAAGGTTTTTGCAATGGGATTGGTTATTTAGCCAGAATGCATCTGGTGTATTGAAATAGGAGTCTATTGAGCACACCTTTTTTCACTGTGTTTGCACACTGTGCAAGCTTATTGAAGGCTACATGATACACATGTTGTATGGACAATTCTTTGTCTTGGATTTTAATTCTGTTTGTAGCAATGTGAGCTTGTTGTGCTTGCTAGCCATGATGTAAATGGTGATATGGATGACAAGGATGAATAAAGTTCACGGATCATTGTCTCTTTCTTCCTATCATCTGGTGCTGAACCAGATGATAGGAAGCACAAGGTGGAGAGAGAGATTTTTTCCAAAGACTAGTGAATGGTGCTAACCTTGAATGGCATCTCCAGTTGACTAGTTGTTGTAGAGTAGTTTTCACAGTGGAGACTTGTATTTCACTAAGTCTGTCCTAAAGGGTTTGATGTACAAAAACGTTAGGAACTTGTTATAATAGTTAATGACGCAGCAATCTAGTTGGGGTGGTTGATACTTCAATGTCCGACATTGACTGACTCACCAACTCACTCTGAGCCCACTGGCGACTGCTACTGCTTATTATATCTGGGAGAGTCTATTAACAATAGAATAGGTATGTTCCGGTATAACACTGGTTGAAGGACTTGTTTCTTGCTATTTGTTTTTCTGAAAATTGTTTAACTTACTTAGGGAATGAATGATTGTGGTCTCTTTTTATTTGTTATTCTTCACATTTTTCCATTTTAATTAATCTACCCATCCTACCCATTTCTATGTGACAGAACACCAGTTCACTGGAGTGGTGAGAACATATTTTGTTTTTTATTTTATTTTTTTATTTTTTCTACATGTTAATCTGCTTTTCTGCCATGTTTAGGCCATGGGTAGGGTCCCATACTAGCAGATAATTCATTGTATATATTTTCATCAAATCATGTAATTGTTTTTAGGATGTAAATAAAAATCATGTTTTTTCATTCCCCTCTCTACATATTTGCAAATATGGAGTATTAAGTTAGGATTTCATGGCGGGCAGGTATGGTTTTGGTGATTGTGGTATGTATGTGTTTTGTATAAATGCAGTGTAAAGATTATTAAAAGTGTGATTGGGTCAGTGAATGTGACTAGCTCAGTTAAAGTTAGGACAATGATGAGATAACTCCTTCAGTCCTCATTTGTCAGCCCTTGTGCCATATTAGTATGTTTTTTAATACAATAATATGTATTCTTGAGAGACTGTAACCAACAACTACCACCCCTCTATCAAATGAAGGAGTGCACTCATTTCTTTCATCCCTACCGCACTCTAGAGAGTTAATAAATATAAAAAAAGTACCAGTAAATGTAATTAATACTGCTTATTATAAACAGGGCATTTAATTAAATAATTGTATTTTTAAAAATAACATATAAACAAAATATATTAAAACAAAGTACATAAGTTTTTGCATTTTATAATAATTTTTTTAAATCACAAAGGGAGTAGAGGAAAAAGAAAAAAAAGGGAACAAAAAGTGACAAACTTAGCATTGTCTTCTGTTCAAAGCATTCAAAAATCCTTTAATTTTAGTCTGGTGATAGGCTTTGTAAATAAATCAGTGACCTTTTGCTCTGCCAGAATATAGTCCTACTTTATTGTACCATTTTTCACTTTACTCCTTATCAAATGATAGCTTATGTCAACATGTTTTGAACATTGATGGTGAACTGGATTTTTAGCTAGAGCTATAGTCCCTTGATTGCTCATTTTCATTTGAATTAATCATGATATTTAATAATTGGATAAGGAATTTTTGCTTACACTTTTTGCTAGGTTGTTTTCTTGTTTTCCAAGAAACAGTTTAACAATACTATTCTGTGATACTGCACAAATCCTTTGAATTTCCTTAATCAGCTTAAGGATTTATTAGATTTATTAAACACTAGATAATGTGTTTTTGTGCCTCCTAAATAGTGCAGAACTTGTTAGGCACTTATCAAGTGATCCATGGTTGGTTTTTCTGAATATTGTAATAATTTTATCACCATATAACTTATACCTAAATGAGTTGCAGTCAAGCTACCAACTTTTTTTCAGTAATATTTTTCGACTGCTAGTTTAGCATTGCTTTCTCCTAGCATTTTGATAGCCATTTCACAAGGCATCAATTAGGGTTTACACTTGCATTCCAAATTTTATTAGAATCTTTTCTATATATTGTGGTTGGCTCATTTCAATCAAGTTCTTTTTAAATGTTAATTGTATACCTACAAAGAAAGAAATCTGTCCAAGATCAGATATTTTGAGTTGTTCATTTAAACATTTCTTTTAAAAAGATATATCATATTTTTGTAAGCATTATTGATCAAAGATAATACATGTTGATACCACCTAGATTTAAAAGAATTCTTGGTATTCCCAGTATAAAATTTTTTAACTGTTGGTTTTTCAATAGTAGAAATAGTGATTAGGTAAACAAGAGAGTAAGTTTGACATCAGTTTTGCAATGGGTATTCGTTAGAATTTTTACAATTACACTTGTTGGTATTGTCAGTGTGTGTTGCTTTGGAATTATAACTCAGATTTTTGTATTGGTTTAAGATTTTATCATTATGTTTTTTAATATTTTTTTCAAGATTATCTGTACAGCTATAGCTTAGTTTTAGTGTATTTCTGTTAAAAATTTTACTGAGTGGATTATTTCTGGGGAAGTATTTGTCAATTAAATGGAGGAACTTCTGCCCTAACTTAGTACTAACCATTTGGTTAAATGGGGGTATATAAGATAAATAAACCAATAAGGTTGGAAGACTCAGTAGAATCTAATGACCCGGTGGAAATATCAAATTGATCAGCAAAATTGTTCTTCATCCACTGTTCTTTGTTATGGACAAGAACAGATCTTTTGCAGTTCATAATAATTTCAAGTTCCTTTTGGAAAAATCTGAATACTCCCTGGTAAACTCCAAAGCCAAAGTAAAAAGATCCATGGAAATAGACGGGTAAAAATCCACAATATCAAATTGGATAAATGAACAATTTCTTTTATCACTTTTACTTACTTACTATTCGCCTGAAGAGACACAATGGAGTACTGAAACATGAAAGTTATTGTGTAGCGATTTCAACATGTTTTTGCTCTAATATCTAAAATAAAATAATAATATATGTCTGTGTGTATATATGTATATCAATGTGTGGTGGTGTAATGGACTGCAGCTTGGATTGAGAAATCAGAGAGAGTCAAGTTTAAATTCCATTGACTTATATGTAAATACATTTGGAAAAGGTTTGAATCCATCTTCTCCTTCCTTCTCAAAGAAGGACAACACTGAATTCAAAACTTGAGGAGGATCATTGGGAGGCCTTGTTGCACCAGTTCTAGTCAATTTTTCTGAAAGGTTTGGTTGATTTTGCACAAACCACTATAATCAAATCATATGTGCAGATAGTCTTGATGTTTGCTTCTAAGAATTGAGCTTTTATACCATCATATGATAGGAGTGTCCAGTATATATATTGAAGGATACTAACAATTTTAATCTGTATACAATATGTGTATGGTAGTAAAGTAGTAAATAGTCTGATAAAACTTTCAAAGTCTTTGACCACCTTGTGATGTAGTAACACTCTTACTGGTGCACCATCTGTGCCTGATACACACTGTGACAAGGTACAATGTGGTGAAAGGCCCCAGTACACTGTTCAAGCTGTTCTGTTTCCATTCCTGTAACAGGAAATGTCAATTTGCAATTTCTACAGAATAATTTTCACTAACATGATGTTTGTGCTACTCTTTTCAGCAACTTCCTTTGCCAGCACAATCATCTTTGCAGTACAGGCCTGTTATAAAGATCATGGAGGATATACAGCATATATTAATAAAACATCAAAACAAAGAAGGGATGAAATAATTAATAATATATAATGCTTTATCTAAGAAATTTGAGGACTATTAAATCTAATACTACTAGTGTATGTTCTCTGAATGATGGATATAAAGAGAATATTACTAATATTGAACTCATTATTCTTTACAATTTTGCAAAAATATTAAATAGTTATGTATAGTATTAATATCTACCAAGCTTAGTACATAACCATACTAGTGGGATTACCCAGTAAGGGTGACTCACTTTGTTTTTACAAAATATTAGGATAATATATGTATAATATACTTAATAAGTTTACTGTACTATTCAAGGCACTCAGTGAGGATTGAAATTATTTTTTTTCAAAGTCTAGTTAGTTTTTGAAAGTTTAGTTTAGTAACCAATATTCTACAGTAGACTTCCTACTGATATTTACTGGGTACACTTTACTCTTAGATTAAGCAAACATTGAAAGATTGTATTGTAACGCTCTTCTGAAGGAGTTGAACCATGAATAAATGCATTCAAAATCCTAAGATTTACATATGCTTGAAATAACGACATGAACAACAATGAACAAAAAAGTAGAAAAAAGAAACAACAACCTAAAAATTTTTTGTAAGGTTTAACATCAAATATTCTTATCTCTTTTATGGAATTTTCTTGGGTCTGTAGAAGGTGAACGATGTGTTGTCCCAGAAAACCACTTCCTCCAGTGACAACAATGACTTCATCTTTACACATAGTTGGTAATTTTGAAGTTTGTGTGAAATATAAGCTGATAGAATAATGGCATTTGGAAGGTATCAGCAAAAATCTGGAAGTATGACAAAAAATAAAAAAAAGGAAATAAACAAAAATAAATTGATTTAGTGTAGTTTGAGAATCAGTTGAAAAAACAAAACACACACACATATACATATATGTATGTATGTATGTATATACACATACATGGTATATACAAAATACATACAAATACATAAAAGCATGATAAACAAAATGAGAAAAATGAAGAAAATTGTATGTGGGGAATTTCCTACTACTACAAATGATATTTTGTGGTGACCCCCATGTTTGATTAAATGTTTTATTTTTTTTAAACAGTGTAAATTACATCTGCTAGTCTGTGCATTTAAGAGACTTAAGTAAGTTCCTCAGGTAAGGTTTGAACCTGTGTTCACCTTTTTAGGAGAACCTATTATCTGATCCAGCATGCTTTAAATTGCCCAGCAAGGTTCAATTATCTTTAGAAGAAAGCATATCCCCTTGTTCAAATATCAAAAACCCATATCTTGTCATTTTTATATCCAAGGATCGATTTTCTAAGGAATCAATGGATTTTTAATCAGACATTTATGTGTGTGAGAGAGAAGTTTGAAAATATGGATTAAATCTAAGCAAATAAGTATATAAGAAACAAGAAGGAAAATCTTTAAAAATTTAACATTCTTTGCTATTTATTTAAATTCATTAGAAATGAAGCTAAATAGAGAAATGTTAAATTTATATATATATATATATATATATATATATATATATAAACCCCTCTGTTAAGTTTTAATCTCCCACCTTCTCTCGTCTGTTACCCCTCTCTTTAACACTAACATTCGTCCCACACTCTCATACTTACACTCTCTCTAAATTCTATTTTTATTTCTGGAGTTGTTCTTTTCTGTTTTCATTTTGAATTTGTAGGTCTGATGAATGGGATCATATTTACGATTCCAATGGAATAAATTATGACCATGGAATATTAGTGTTTAAGCCTTTTTATTATATCCTTACTCTGTCCTGGACATTGAGTTCTACCTGGATTCTATCCTCTCGGAATTTTTTATTCAAAAAATATACATGTATGTGTATGCACCTATGTATATATATTTATATATTTTGCATATGTATGTGTATATTTACCACTAATATTATCTATCTATCTATCTATCTATATATATATATATATATATATATATATAAACACTGCATCTCATATTATTAATCACTTTCCATATTTTTAAAGAAGTAATGAAGGAATTCAAAGGAATATTTGTACTATTAAGATACATCTTGATTTAACATATGTATAAATTTCAGTAGACTAATATTACATTTACAATGTGGCAATTGATTTATGAATTTCACAGGATTTTCCAAATTTTGCATTAGTAACCAGGTTGTTAGAGCTCCAAGAAAATTAAAAATTATAATTATAAAATTTGTACATAGTTTAAAACTGTAAATATTTTGAACGAAAAATTGAAAAGTGTCATTGTAATAAGGACAAGATTAAAATGAAATGTACATTTCATTTTCTGAAACAAATTTTAGAATTTGCTTATCTATTGTATAGTTAACCATATTTGTATGTACAGGATCATATGTGCAAACAGACCTCTTCATCATGTCCCAGAAATGCTTAACTGGGTTTATCTATTTGTAGGAAATTTTCAGAATGATCCAAAAACCATTTCTGGGCAGAGGTTGGATCTGATGATATGAGGCATTATCATTATATCTGATTTTGGGTACTGGAAAACCATGAATGGCTGCAAGTTGTAATGGAGCAGCCCTACAGTCTGCCTGTAACTTTTATCCATGAAGAATAGCTTTGAATTTGTCTGGCATAGTCTAAACTATCTGATTCTTTATTTAACTAATTTATCTGAAATTGGCTTGGTGGGGTCCCATTATTTGTAAAAAATCCTCATATGATAAGGATCTTAACTCCCCACTCAATTTTATCCTGTTGGAGATATTTTAACTTATACTAAGTTAAAATTTACTGACATGTTGTAACTTTGTTAATTGATCTTACCCTAACACATGTATTGGAAGTTAAACTTACAGTTGACCCCATGGCTTTTATTCCAATCTTAAATTTCCTTTTCTACCTTGAGATGACAGGAAATGTAAATGGAAACAGGAGGGACTGTCTTGGTATGAGCAGTAAAAGAACTGGACAAAGTCTTAATCGCATACCTATCCAAAAAAAAAAAGAAAAAAAAGAAAAGAATTATCACATAGCACTGTATGTGTGAATATATCTGTTGCTCCCTGTTATTTCTACTATGAGACAATGCAACTCAAAAATTTTAAAATTGATTGCTAATTCGTGAAGAAACTATGGTTACATATGCTGGAAACATACATTAGGTTAACTATATGCCTCAAATATCTCTGCTTATGAGCCAATATCTATCTTCTAATATATTATTTTTTGATTATTTATTTATCTATTTAATTCAATTATTTTATTTTTTTCCAGTAGGACTAGATAGGTCTACCTATTGCCCAGTTCATACTCCTTCCTATCTTTTGAATAGCCACAGATATATACTGATCATTATCAATGACCTCCATGATGCCATTTGTTCTCAACTATGTATTTATGTTGATAACAAGTATTTACTCCAGTCTTTGTAGAAAATATGACAAAGTAAAACTGGCAAATGCTCTTGAAAAGAACCTCCAATCAGCTGGGGAAAGGGATGGCTTGTAAATTTTAATACTTCAAAAACAAAACTGTTTTCATTTAATAACCACAGAGAACCTTTTCTGCCTGCTATCAGAATGGCTGATGTAAAACTCCAGGAGAGTAACACTGCATCTTCTTGCACTCACATGTTTAGGTCTACAGCAAGAAAAGTTGGTTCCCTGTGTTGTGCCTGTGTCCTTGTGTTGTGATAGACAATTCTTGTCATCACATTCCTTCTTACACATTTATAAATCTACCATTTGTTCATAAATTGAATACTGCTGCCATATCTGGTCAGGTGCTCCTCATATATATATATGTATATGTATATATTCTTGACAAAATTAAAAAAAATGTCTATAATGTAATTTATCCTGACCTGACATGTCAATTTCAGTCACTTTCTCACCAATGTGACATGGTTTCCTCGTCTTTTCATGGTAATTGTTCTGATGAGCTTCTCTCTTTAGTGCCACGACTGCATGATTTTAAGCATGCTACTAGATTGAAGACATGGTTTCACCATTTTACTGTTGAACAAGTTAAATGCAACCACTAGTTCTATTCTAATAGTTTCCTTTTTTTCTCTCACTTCTCACCTGTGGAACTCCCTTTCCAATTTCTTGCTTCCCTGCCACCTACAATCTTCCAAATTTTAAATACAACATCAATTATCATCTTCTGCCTTCCTGAATACTTTTGTTTGCTTTTCACTATAGTTTTTTCATACTCTTTCACTCCCTTGTGGCATTACTGCCTTGCTTGGGGTGTGTTACTTCTATTATGTATTGGAATGACTACAAAAATATACCTTTCCCCAAATCTATATACAAAACATACAGATGCATACTGGGATTTCTTCCTAGACAATAAAATAGGCCACTTCTTGGTCTCATCCAATATATTTCTGTTTTTTCTTGTATTGAAATCAAATTGTCATTTGTCTGTATCCTCTTGTGTTTGTTAACACCATTCTTACTTTGTGAACATTTTGCTTTATTACCATTGCTTTGCCTTGTATATATTGCTTGCTTAATATTATTTTTGCTCTGTTCTTTTCTTTATCTTGTTATTGTTTATTGCAAACTTTGTCAATTCTGTTTGTTCAGCATTTCTGCAAATTAAATTTAACCATGTTCAATTGCTCTACAGTTTTTCAGGAGTTTCTTATTTAATATAGGAATATTAGCAAATTGTTATATATGTACCAGCAAAAAAACTGTGTCAAAAGGAGTATTTTTGTAAATAAACATTCTAATAAATAAATATTTTTGTTTAAGATTTCTGTTGTCAATTCTCAAGAAAAAAATATAAATCCAGATGCTCACAATCTATTTCACTAAATTGACATCGCAAGAGCAAATGAAAGAAATTTTCAGTTAATTTATTTTTATAAAATTTATAATTACACTTCTTTCTACTCATTCTTGTCTTGAAATCAAATTGTCAACTGATCTAAATGGAGTACAATCCTGAACTTCTTGCTTGCCCACTTTTTCCCCATTTTTTCTCTCTCATTATTTTTTCTTACCCTTTTTGTAATTAAAAAAAAACTTTTTAAAAATGATTGCAAAAAATATATTAAAAAATGCACAAATAAAATAAAGGTATAAAAAGTTTTGAAATATTAAAAGATATTAAACAAAAAAGAGAAAAACTTAAAAACAATTGTAAATATTTGTGTATCTTGTTTATACTTATTGGTCCCATAAAAGGGGAAAAAGGAGGGAAATGACAGTATTCATCCATTTGATTGAGTGGGGAGTTCTATCTGTATTGGAATAACTGCAAAAGCCTCTCCATCCCCAAATTTATAGGAAAAAATACAGATGCATGCTGGGATTTCTTCCTAGCTAATAAGATAGGCCACTTATCAGTCTCATCTGCCATATTTCTGTTCTTTCTTGTCTTTAAATCAAATTGTCATTGTCCGTATCCTTTTTGTGTGTTAACATCATTCTTACTTTGTGAACTTTTTGCCTCATTACAATTGTATTGCCTACTTTTGTCTTTTTTTTATATTGTTTGCTTGGTATTATACCAAGCAAACAATATATAAAAAAAGACTTTTTACACTATTCTTTTCTTTATTTTGTTATTGTTTATTGCAAATGTTGTCAATTCTGTTTGTTTGATATTTCTACCAGTTATATTTAACCATGGCCAATACGGTACAGGGTGTGATAATTAAAAAAAAACATACTGGACAATGATAAATGATATGTTTTGGTAGACCAATAAATACAAACCATACCATATGAATACCACCATTTCATTATAGAACAAATACCAGCCAGTACATTGCATTGTTGATAACTGGTATTCATGACCTTGTAGTTTATGCA